GATTCTCAGATCTCTCAGATAATTTTGCAGAGATGGATTCAGTTTCTTCATGGGGAAACACGCCCCTCATCTCCGTCGATCCAGAGATCCACGATCTAATCGAGAAGGAGAAGCGTCGACAATGCCGCGGAATCGAACTCATCGCCTCCGAGAATTTCACTTCCTTCGCCGTCATCGAAGCTCTCGGAAGTGCACTCACCAACAAATACTCTGAAGGTATGCCTGGTAATCGTTACTATGGAGGTAACGAATTTATCGATGAGATCGAGAATCTCTGTCGTTCACGCGCTCTCGAAGCTTTTCGTCTAGATTCCGCGTCGTGGGGTGTTAATGTTCAGCCATACTCTGGATCTCCGGCGAATTTCGCCGCTTACACCGCTTTGCTTCAGCCACACGATCGTATCATGGGGCTTGATCTACCTTCAGGTGGTCATCTTACTCATGGTTACTATACTTCCGGTGGGAAGAAGATCTCAGCTACTTCGATCTATTTTGAGAGTCTTCCGTATAAGGTGAATTTCACTACTGGTTACATTGATTACGAGAAGCTTGAGGAGAAGGCGATGGATTTCAGGCCTAAGTTACTCATCTGTGGTGGTAGTGCGTATCCTAGGGATTGGGAATACGCTAGATTGAGAGCTATTGCTGATAAGGTTGGAGCTCTTTTGCTTTGTGACATGGCTCACATCAGTGGCCTCGTTGCTGCTCAGGTATATTGCCTACTCTCATTTGTATTGATCTTGTTCTTTGTGTATCTTTTTGTTAGATCTGATTTTGTTTAGCGTTTTGAATTGTCATGAGCGAAGATCTTGATTTGTGGAACTTTGAATCCGACTCGATTACACACCTTATACTCTGATATCTGTCTGCATTCATCTCCCTGAGTTATCGTTAGAAATGACTCGTTTGATCTCATACCTGTCTGCATTCATGTTTCAAGTCTAGTGTTTTCAGGGTCTATTATCAAATGATTTTGTTCATAATCACATTGTTAAAGTCTTTTGATCTGATTTGGGGTGTCTCATCTAGCCCTCCAGGGGAAAAAAGTTTTTGTTTTTAGTTCTCAACGCCTTTAAGCATGTGTAAGTGAACGTACCTTGGGAACTTTCAATTCTTTTAAGTAAATAAAACCAACGTAGAAGCCTCATAAAGTGATGCGATTAATCTAGTGTTGGTTGACAAGATTGAGTTTTTTTGCATTTAGCCACATTCCTGATTGAGTTTTATTCATGTTCACAGGAAGCTGCAAACCCGTTTGAGTACTGTGACGTTGTGACAACCACAACACACAAGAGTTTGAGGGGTCCAAGGGCTGGTATGATCTTCTACAGGAAGGGCCCAAAACCACCGAAGAAGGGGCAACCCGAGGGTGCAGTCTATGACTTTGAGGACAAAATCAACTTTGCTGTATTCCCTGCTCTTCAAGGTGGTCCTCACAATCACCAGATCGGTGCTCTAGCCGTTGCGTTGAAGCAGGCTAATACTCCTGGTTTCAAGGTATACGCAAAACAGGTGAAAGCCAATGCTGTTGCCCTTGCAAACTACCTAATGGCCAAGGGATACAGTATTGTAACCGGTGGAACTGAGAACCATTTGGTTCTCTGGGATGTTCGTCCTCTTGGATTGACCGGTCAGTGAATAATATTTACCCACGTTTGAAATTTTATGTTATACAGAACTAGTCCTGATGTTGTGTATACTTCTGTTTGTGCCAGGTAACAAGGTCGAGAAGCTTTGCGATCTGTGCAACATTACTTTGAACAAGAATGCAGTATTTGGAGACAGTAGTGCTCTTGCTCCTGGAGGTGTAAGAATCGGTAAGAGAGTGGAATTAATTGAATTGTTCCTGACAATGACGCTACTGAAACTCAATTGTACGGATCTTGAAAACGTATATGTAAATGTGTATTTGTAGGTACACCCGCGATGACATCAAGAGGATTGGTGGAGAAGGACTTTGAGAAGATAGGAGAGTTCCTTAGCCGATCAGTGACACTGACATTGAACATCCAGAAGGAGCACGGTAAGTTGTTGAAGGACTTTAACAAGGGATTGGTGAACAACAAGGAGCTCGAGGAGCTCAAGGCTGACGTTGAGAAGTTCTCGGCTTCTTACGAGATGCCTGGATTCCTCATGTCCGAGATGAAGTACCAGGATTAGAGATCCCTCTCTCTCGATTCAAAGAGTAATCTTTC